GCCAGAATGAACCAACTTGCCAGCTCACACCTTACCCCCAGCTCCTGGGCAATGGCCTGCCAGTCCAGGCAGTTGTGTTCAGCAGCTATCTGCTTCAGCCTCTCCAGCTCCTCCTCAGTCCATTCCTTTTTGTTGATGCTTGGATGCTCCCAGTTTTGCCAAAACTGCCTCAGTTCTTCTGAGCTACGCTGTCCATCAAACTAAAAAAAACAACAAAAATATGTTTAGTCTCAAAGCTGGGATTAAGACACCTGGACAAACAGGAAAACCAGTATTTGCATTCCAGATGTCTTACTGACAAGTTTTCCAAAATTAAATCACCAAATTTAACAAGTTGAGATCACTTAAGTCAGCTTGGAGAAATGCAAGATGGAAACACTGGATGCAAAGCAGATCAGGGATTCTTAAGAGGAAGGACCCAGATATCAGAAGCAATAAAACAGCTGATCCCCCAACTCACATGGATGTTTGAAATTTTGTCCCAGTCATGCTCATCAAATCTGTTTCCTATTAAGTCACTCTCTGGGAGTTGGCTAAAGCAGAAGGTACAAAGAGGAAGAAAGAATCATATTAAAGGGTTAATGAAACATTTTGTCTTCTTGATCCTGCCTCATCTCATTCCTCCCACCTGTTCCTGACTGCCACAAGAACTGAACACTTGGATTAGCAGGAGAAACAATGAATGCCATATCCAGACATGTTGCTCTAGATTTGTTCATGAGCAAAAGCTCAAAAATATGAAAAAAATCAGAGTTCTGCTCCTTTGTTGCTAAAGAACACTGGGTGCAGGCACTTTGTGTATCAAGACCCAAACACATTTCTTAGTGAAGAACAGTGGAGAGGAGAGAGCTGCAGAGCCACAACAGCACCTAACTTTTTACAACCCAACACCAACGACCCATCTAGAAGCAGAAGAAGGGAAGTTTTAGAGCTAAACTCTAAGACATTTCATTTTTCACCAAGAACACAGAAGGACTTCTTACTTAATTGCCTCTATTTCTTGCTCCAAGTCTTTGATTTGCTTTTCCAAGGATTGTTTTTCTGTTTCAGTCGTGATTTTCTCCAGTTTCTGATTCCAGTAACTCAACCTGTTCAAAGACATTGTTATCACTACTTAAAAGGACAGATGGGAATGAGGTCAATAGCATCAGAAGATGTACAGCAGAGACACCTTCCCCATCAGTATCATTCCTCCCTTCAGGTTTATTTCCACACAAAACTGTTCTCCCACGTTTTCCCTCAAGGCACACTCATTGCCATCCCTTCAATGCAATCCCTGACCCACAAGAGGTTTCAGATAAACCATTTTGGTGTTTACACAGAGAACCAAGGCTTGCTGCAACAGCCATAAAGAACTGTGCCAGCTCCAGCACAGAAATCCCTTGCTGGACACACCATTAGGCCTCACCACACATCACCATTTCAGCTTCAAGCCCTGCCAAGAATTTTAAGCTACACCACAGTGCCAATGGGAAGAATAGATGGAGAAATCCTACAAACACAAGCAATTAACACAGGAAGGGGACATCTGCACATGTCCCTTCTCCTCCTTTGCCATGCAATGCTCTCAGCAGGAGAAGAGGGGATTTTGGGGCAGAACTCACTTGAGCAGCTTTGGCTGGAGCAGGCGCTGCAGGCGGTCGCTCACCACGGATTTCTGCAGCAGGGTCTTCTCTGCAGCTTTCCCTAAAGCAGACAGGGGAGCAGGCAGACATCAGTGCAGAACCACTGCCAGGAGACACCCAGTGCTCCCAGCACCCCTGGGAATGCCCTCCAGCTCTGCAGGGAGAGCTCCCTGCATAAATCACCAAGGTTGTGTCAGACCTGGGCAGGGCACAGCCTCTGGCTCAGTTTTACTGGCATCTGCAAAGGGACCCCAAAAAAGGAACCACCCCGTGAGCATCTGGAGCTGCAGCTGTCCCTTGACCTGCCCTCATCTGGGCACCACCCTTGCACCACCTTACCTGGTTTGGGAGTGCTCAAGGAGCTGAGCAGCAGAACAAATGAAAAAGGAGTCATGAATTAATGACTCGCTGAAAGAATTTACAGAGCACCCCATTCCCTTCTAACAACTTTTTGTGAGTCAGGCAGAGGTGGTGATGTTTAACTGCAAGCAGGAACACACACAAACAATAGGAATATATACATTTGTTATATGAATATACACATTTGTTATATGAATATATACATTTGTTATACTAATAAACACATGTTATAGCTCTTCTAGAGCACTGAACAGCACCCAGACTTACTTACACTTGGCTGAGTGCAGCTGTTCAAAGGATTTTATGCCCTGAGCTGCCTTTTCCTTGGCATCTTCGTTGGAAGGAGGGCCCTGATGAGGATTAGAAAAGTTAGATACAATTAGAATCAGACAAAATTACTGTTTGTTCTTAGAACTCCAGCATGAACTGCTACTAAAATAATTGAAAACTCAAACTTGTGCAAACTGTCACGCTCACACTGCTCAGTTACATTTGTTAGCAAGAGCTCACAGGCACATCATTTAATTAAACAGAAATATTACCAGTAATTGCTTGAATATATTAATATATGGATGATGTTAGTTGACATCTTGGCTACCACAAAAAGCCAATATCTGCTTTCACTTATGGCCTTTTAAAAACACATTAAAAAAAAAAAAAAAGTACTACTGATTGTTCCAGAAAATATAAAAAAAATACAGAAAATCTCAGGAACTGAGAAAACTCAGTTTCAAAGAAAATCAGATTTCAGTGAGGGCTTTAAAGAGCAGCATGGACAATTAAAGTTAAGTTAAACCCAGGACCTTTCAAGCCCCTGGTGGCTGCAATTTCACTCCTCAGACCTCACAGGGCTGAACAAACATTTTCAAAAGAGGGAGAATGACAAGTGAGGACAAAAATGTTTCAGGCTGAGGAGTGACAATCAGTTACACACCTGAAATGAGAACAGTTTAAACACATTACAGTGTACAACCATCACTGAAGACACATCAGTCTGGAAGCTGCTTTTATTTACTTACAATTCCTGTGATTTTATCCTTAAAGTATGGCTTCAGAAAATGACCCAAAAACACATTTGCTGCTAGATTTCTGCCATCTCCTGCCTTGGCTGTTTTTGAACCATGCAGCTCACCCACGATTTCTTTCTGCAATACAAAAATGAATTGAACAGCCTCAGTGTCTCCTCCAAACTGCTGATTTCAGAGAGCAGAGGCTGAGCCTCACAAACACCCCAGGCAGGGCTCAAACTGCAGCACCAGACTCCAAAATCAGTGCAGAACTAAAGGAAGGATTTGGAACTTCCTCAGTTTGCACAGTGCAGACAATTATAAGCTTAATAAAATACTAACTTGCCACAGCAAGCTAAAATACACCATGTAAAATACCCTTTTTTATGGTAAGAAAGCATGGAACCATCAGTTAAATAAACCAGCTCAGTCCTGGGCTTGAGGGGAAGGAAGGATGGCAAATGGCAACCCAGAGAAGCACAGAAATGAGCATTTCACTCCTGCTTTGCTCACCTGCTGTGCTCTGTTTTGTGCAATGAGCAGCTCCACCTCCTCAATCTTCTCCTTGATAACGTCCTGGTACACATGGTTCATCTGCAGGCAGGTTTCTGGATCCTGGGGCAAGCTTTCAATATCATCATCATCATCACTGCTGTCTTCTGCTCCATCCACTTCCACTTCCTTGAGGCATTTAGGGAGAAAAGAGAGAAAAGCAGCTGTCTGAAAAGCAGTGCTGTAACTCAGCCCTTCCTCAGCTGAAGCTGCTGTGTGCCCACAGCCTGTGGATCACAAAATCCTGGGCAGGAACACCCCAAATCCAGGTTTTACTGAGCACAAAACCAGGACAATTGCCTGGATTTCCCCAGAGCAGGGTGAGGTTTCCCTTCCTCCTGTTCCCTTCAATAGACAGCTGGAAATATAGGCTTAAAGAAAAAACATTTACCATTTCAGCATAAGAATCTTCATCATCATCATCTTCATCATCACCATCTGTTAGACAAACAAAACACAAAAACGCTGACTGCAGTAAGCTTTAAACCCAAATATTTCCAATTAAAGCACAGAGGAAAAAGCACGACCATCAGTGGGTTTGGATACTGACAACGCTGTCATGTAAAAAGTGCATTGTTACAGCCCATTTATGCTTTTTTTGTTGTTCTGGAGAAGGTAAAAACGAGCAGCTCTGGGTAAGCACAGCAGAGCTGAACGGTGCTCCTGCACTTGAGAGGCTCCCGGGAGTGAGCCAAGTGACAATTCCAAGGCAGGACGACACAAACCGGGCACCAGCAACCGGGGTTACAGCCCCCAGCACCGGGGAGCAGCCGCTCGGACAGCGCTGCTCCCGCTGGCACCGAGCTCCGCTGAACGAGCCGCAGGAGCTGGGCACGCTGCGGCTCACCCAGCGCTCTGAGCCCCGGGATTTCACGGCTGCCGGTGTTCGGCCGCAGAGGGAACGTGCAAAGCGCCGGTACCGGGGAGCGCCCCGAACGCGTACCGGAGCTGAGGCTGGAGTCGGATAGGGCCAGCTGGACGTCGGTCCCGCCGGGCTGCAGGCTGCGCTCCAGCTGCTCGATCTGGCGGCGGATCTTCTCCCGCTCCGCATCGAGGTCGAGGCCCTGAGGGGAGCGGAGCGGCCCAGCCGGGCCCGGCCCGCGGGACATGGCGGCACCGCCGCTCCCGGGGCTGCGCTGGCCCCGCCCTCCCGCTCCGCCAATCGCTGCTGCGAGCGCGGGTCAGGTGATACGGCACGTGACACGGCGCAGCCAATCCGGACGGGGCTCGGCGCACATGCACGGCCGGGAGAGCACCGAGCGGCAGCCGCAGCCGCGCCCGCGGTGCTCGCCGAGCGCAGCCCGGGGGTGGCGGGTGCCCCGGAGGAGGAGCCGCGGTGCCGGCGCTGCAGGCGGGTCCCTGCCGGTTCAGGGATCTCTTGGCTGTGGATGCACCGCGGCAGGGGATGGAGAAGCCCGGGTGTGCAGTTGGACGCGTCAAAATGAGGCGAAGTATGAAAAATTCACTTTTTAGTAACGGTTTCCGTATGAAAACAAAGTCGTCCGTGCTGCGTGAGGCACTCACTGTCCGTGCTCTGCCACCTCAGAGATTCTGTCTATGGATTTCAGGAGATCGGCCACGAGCTGCAGGGATTCTGCCCCAGACAGCAGCTGCCTGCAGTGGGAGAGATGCAGCGTTACAGGTGGGGACGGGCAGTTTTGGGGGAGTTTCCCCACATTCTGTGATTTATCAAGCAGCATTTTATCAGGATTAGAAACTCAAAGACTCCCACTTCCCACTTATTTTCACACACGGAGGGTGAGAACACGGAGCAGCTCCTCTGGCACACCGCACAAACCCCTGGATCTGAACCCCAAAAACACGCGCTGGGGAGGTTTATCGGTGAGCCCCGGTGGCCGGGGGTGCCGGGAGCGCTGTCCCGGCGCAGCTGACCTGATGGACGCTCGGGAGCTGGCTGTCACCTGCAGCAGCCGCTGCAGCGCCGCCGCCGCGTTCCGCCTGGCCGCGGCCAATCCCGCCTGGCCCGCCCGCAGCTCCTCCCGCTCCCGCCGGGAATTCCGCAGCTCAGCCTGGGCAGAAAGGGCACAGTCCGTGAGAAACGGCAGATGCTCTGCAGCTGATGATGCGTTATTCCCACAGCAGCTGATGGGCGTGGAGTGTAATCATTAACTGACACACGGACAGGGAATGCAATAAATAATGCAGTAAATAGCGACTAGAGCCCAGCAGCAGCTGCCTGCAGGGAGTGCCTGCCCACAAACACAACCAGCAGGGCTGGAAAGACCTCTGGGTGCATCCAGTGCAACCCCTGCCAAGGCCGTGTCACCTGCAGCAGGTGACAGGGACAATTCCAGAGGTCTCCAGGGAGGGAGACTCCCTGAATTCCCTGGGCAGTTTGCTGCAGGGCTCTGCCACCCTCCAGGGAAAGAAGTTCTTCCTCACCATTGCTCCTCACCACTGAAATCTGGCACCATCCAGGCCCTCACTGAGCCTAAAAACACACCCAGCATTTTCCTCAGAGCCTGCAAAACCCTTGCAGCTCAGTTCTGAGGTGTGTCCCTGCAGCCCCAGCAGTGCTGCTGCCTACCTGCAGCTGGGCATTCTCCTGCCTCAGTCTGGCAGCACTGTTCTCAGCCTTGGCAGCCCTTTTCTGCAACAGAACAGAGATTATTGAAATAATAATAATTATGAATTGATTTATGATAGAATATCATTATATATTAGTATATTTACTAATATTACATATTAGTATATATAATAATTATTCTATAAGAATGATAATTATCAAATTGATCACTGAAAATAATGTACTACTACTACTAATAATAATAACAATAACTCAATTGAAATCACAATAATAATAACCCAGGCAGGTTTAGCCACTTGGGAATGAGTGATTCCAGCACAGAACCTGGAGGGATAAGGTTTATGTTCCAACACACTGTGTTCTGGATGTTTTAGGAGGTAGGAACAGCTCCCTCCTTCCCTCCTCACTGCTCCTTTCTGGGATCTGCAGAACCTCCCCACCCTCACAGGGGAGAATTTCTTCTGACATCTGATCTCAGCCTAAAGCCAACACTTACAGTCATCAGCTGCAGATTCTGCTCCACGTGCTGCACCATTGCTTCCAAATCCTGTGCTTCCTTTTCTTCTTTGATTTTGTTTTCCTCAAGCTTCTTCTCAAGCTTCCTCATCCTTAAAAAAATAAGAGATGGCACACAGTAAGCACTTGTACAATTAAATACTTTAGGAGGGAAATTCTGGGAAAGGGTCAAGGATCTCATGGTTTTGTGTTACAAGGAAAATGAATTCTTCTCACTCACTTGTCTGCTTGAGTTTCAGCCAGAATCTGAAGCTTATTGATCTTGCTTCTCAAAATAGCATTCTCTTCTTTTAGCTAAAAAAAGAAATAAAAAATTCTTATTAACACTGAGGTGCATTTTCACAACAATAGCAGAATACTCAACTTTAACACTAGAAATCCTCGTGCTCTGTAATACATTCAATCTTAATTTTACCTTCAGCTTACCCATCTGGAAACCACTGTGGGGCACAGGAACGTGGCACTGAACCACCAGTGTACACGGGACTAATTAATGCTGCCAGTTCTAAATGAACATGACCTCAAGGGGCAGGGCACGAGGAAGTCACCCGGGTCACGTCTCAGCAGCACAGAGAGCTGGGCCTGGCTGTGGTGAAATGCACATTCCCAGAGCTCGTTCTCTTCCCGGGCAGCTCCCGGTGCCGGCAGGCCGGGTCACGGCCCGGCTCCGGCGGAGCGGCGGGCGGGCGGCAGCGCTCACCTGCTCGTAGCTCGGGACCGGGGCCGGCCCCGCGGCGGCTCCGGCGCTGCCCAGGTGGGCCTGCTCCACGGCCAGCGGCCGGTAGCTCTCGCTCCATTCCTCCTCCTCCTCCTGCTCGTCCCCCGACTCTGCGGGCACCGCGGGCAGCGGGGGCACGGCGGGCCCGGCCCGAGCCGCCTGCGGAGGGGACAGCGGGCTGAGGGGCGCGTGGTGCCGGGACGGCTCCCGGCCGCGCTGCCGCGCACGGCCTTACCTGTGCGTCCCCGCCGCGGGACTTGGAGCGGACGAACTCGCGGAAGGAGAAGGGGTTGGGCTCGGCCGGGGCCCCCGGCAGCGGCTCCGGCACGGCCATGGCCGCCTGAGGGCGGTGAGGGGCGGGGCCTCCCTCTCGGAGCGGACCAATGAGCGCGCGTTCTCCGCCGCCGCGCCCAACCGCGGCCCCGCCCCCTGACGCACGCTCCCGGTGGCGGCAAGATGGCGGCGGCCATGGCGTGGCTGCGGCNCGGCGCCGCGCGGGGAGGGCACGGCGCCGCTGGGGACGGCGCGGGGACAGCGGGGGGGACAGGCGGCACCCGCTCTGGGGTGGGGGGGGTTCAGCGCTCGGTCCCGGCCTTGGCGGAGCGGCGCGCCCGCGGCCCGTGACGGTGTGCCCGGTGTCCCTCAGGTGCGGGCTGGCGGCCGGCCGGAGCTACAGCGGCGGCGGCGCGTACCCCAGCGTGTCGCTGACCTGCCCGCTGCCCGGCGTGCCCAAGGCCGTGTTCGCGGCGGCCGAGAGCCGGGAGCGCTTCGAGACGCGGGTGACGGTGCTGGAGAACGGGCTCCGCGTCGCCTCCCAGAACAAGTTCGGGCAGTTCTGCACCGTGGGCAGTGAGTACCGGGCACGGAGTACCGGGCGGGGCTGGGGACAGCCGGTGTCCCCCCGAGCCGGGCTGTGCTTGCGAGGCCCGCGGGTGTAAAAGTCACGCTGGTTTATTCTCTTCTTTGCACCAGTTCTGGTGAATTCGGGATCGAGACACGAAGCGAAATACCTCAGTGGGATCTCCCACTTCTTGGAGAAGCTGGCGTTCTCTGTGAGTACTGCCCTGGGGCCCCCAAATCCGCACAGAGCAGCCAAGGAGCCCTGCAGGGCTCTCTGCACTCAGCTGTTAAACAGTGGTGGCAGCATCGATAGAGTCACAGAATCTTAATTGCTTATTAATTAGCATGACTGTAATTAAATTCTAAAAGTCTTTGTGGTTTCACCTCCAAGGCTGGCACATAGTGATCAAACCATTGGACTGAAAGAATGTCAAAGATGCTCTGGGTTACACTGAAGGGTTATAAACAGTTATTGCTTTATTAATTAATAACATTGGTATCTTCTTCCTTAGTCCACAGCTCAGTTTGGCAGCAAAGACGAAATTCTCCTCACCTTAGAGAAGCATGGAGGCATCTGTGACTGCCAGGCATCGAGGTGGGTGCTCCTTCTGCTCTTACTGGGTGTTGCAGCACTGACAGCACTTTGAATCTCTCTTCCTGCTGTGGGGCAGGAAAATCCACTTTTTGTTCCCAAGCAGCAGAAATCCCTTTGTTTGGGCTGCTGGGAAGCTACAAAAGTGAGCCTGAAAGGATTATAAAACTCAGATCTGTTTCATTTCAGAAGCATTTAATGGTTAGAACAGCTTCATCTGTGCTTTCCTGATGCTGAGATGACACTGAGTGACCCCAGAAGTGATGTCTCAGTGCAGGACCTGTGCTTTGTGTTGCAGGGACACCATCATGTATGCAGTGTCTGCTGATGCCAGAGGCCTGGACACCGTGGTCAATTTGCTGGCTGATGTAACCCTCCAGCCCAGGTTATCAGGTCTGGCAGCACAATCCTCTGCCCCAAAAAAAAAAACATTTCCACCACATGGCTTGCTCCTAAGAGCTCAGAATTCCCTCAGAGGTGACCCTGCAGCAGCTGGGGTTTTCTGTAGGGGTTGCCATCCCTTGCTTTGTCTCGTTGCAGATGAAGAAATTGAGATGACCCGAATGGCCATCAGGTTTGAGCTGGAGGATCTGAACATGAGGCCTGACCCAGAGCCTCTCCTGACAGAAATGATCCATGCGGTAACACCCTGGGAGTTCTGCATTCTCTTTCTTGTTTTGGCAGCTTCAGGGTTTATTTTAGACTGTTCTAAAACCAGATTTTCTGTTATTCACTTTCTGTGATGGGAGAATTTTGCTGTCCCTTCACTTTGAAATCCAGCATTCTCCACATGTGGAAGATTCTAACCCAAACTAAAAAAAAAACCTATTTGTAACTTTCCTTTGTTGATGTGGGTGACAAAATGTTACTGAGTTGCACTGCCATTAGTTAAATATGCTCAGCTTTGCCTCTGTCAGGTGTGGGCTTGATTCCAAAGCAAAAGGAGGTTTAGAGGGGTGTTCAGGGAAAAATGAAGTGATGTTTGTGACTTTAATGTTCCCTTTAGGCAGCCTTCAGAGACAACACAGTGGGACTGAACAGGTTCTGCCCCGTGGAGAACACGGACAAAATCACCCGGGACGTGCTGCACTCCTACCTGAGCAGCTACTACACCCCAGAGAGGATGGTGCTGGCTGGGGTGGGCATTGAGCACGAGCACCTGGTGGAGTGTGCCAGGAAATACCTGCTGGGGGTGGAGCCCGTGTGGGGCTCGGGGCAGGGCAGGGCTGTGGACAGCTCCGTGGCTCAGTACACCGGAGGCATCGTCAAGGTACGTGGTGGCAGCCAGCAGCTTGCTGGGATTTGCTGATTTCTCTACAGGCTTTTGCTTTTCTTAAGTTGCATTTCATGGGTATGAGCCTCAGCTGGCTATGATAGCTGTAAATTGGGTGGCGTGGTCATTATTGGGAATGTATCAAACTGCTGTGAAAATCGGCGTTAATGATCTGTCTGCCCTTCCCACAGGTTGAAAAAGACATGTCAGATGTGAGTCTGGGCCCTACTCCCATCCCAGAGCTCACCCACATCATGATTGGGTTAGAAAGCTGCTCATTTTTAGTAAGTATTAACCTGAAATCCTTTTTTGTGTGCCTTATACTTGGAGAATCCCGGGAACACTGACTCATTCCACAAACATTTTGCTGCTGCACATAAAAACAAGCAGCATTTCCCACGACACTTCACTGAAGACCTTGACCTTCACACTGCTCTTGTGCTGTGTTTTTTCCCTCCCCTTTGCTCACCCCAGACCCTCGAGAGCTCTGCCCTTACCTGAGTTTGTTGTTGCACTCCAGGAGGATGATTTCATTCCTTTTGCGGTGCTAAACATGATGATGGGAGGTGGTGGCTCTTTCTCAGCTGGAGGGCCTGGCAAGGGCATGTTCACCCGGCTGTACCTCAATGTGCTCAACAGGTGGGTTTGTCTTGCTGTTTGAGGGCTGCCAGAAACAATCCTGTAGCAGCTTTGCGTGGGAAAAAGGAAACCCCACCAGGTTTTACATCAGTTTCATCTGCTGGGACTGGTGTGTCAGTTGGCATTTTGAGAGGGTGAAAGTAAAGGGCAGAAGTGACCAGGAGTTGTGTTTTCTTCTGGTAGCCCTGGCCTTGCTTTAATCGGGGAGTATTAACAGGATTTGCTCTGTATTGTCAGGGATTCAAGTGGAGAGAAGGGAGTAGATGCCACATGCATAAATTGTCAAAGAAGGGATTGACAATTCTCACTGCACTGCTGAGAATCCTGAGAATGCACTAGGAGGGTGCTCACTGTCCATGTTTAATTTTTACATTGTAAATTCTGGGTTTTAAATTTTAAATTACTCTTTATATACTCACAGGCACCACTGGATGTACAATGCCACCTCTTACCACCACAGCTATGAGGACACAGGTCTCCTGTGTATCCATGCCAGTGCAGATCCAAAACAGGTACAGAGTCCTTGAACAGTAACCACATCAGTTCCAGAGTTCTGTGGACACAGGAAGCATTGTTCTGATCTTCTTTCCACGATCTGTTTTCCCCAGGTTCGGGAGATGGTGGAAATCATCACCAGGGAATTCATCCTCATGGCAGGAGCAGTGGGAGAGGTCAGCAACACATTTGAGTTTGCAGATGGTTTTTGAGCTGAAATAATCCCTGGAATGTCCAAGGCCAGGCTGGACAGGACTTGGAGCACCCTAGGACAGTGGAAGGTGTCCCTGCCCATGGCAGGGAGTGGCACTGGGTGGGCTTTAAGGTCCCTTCCAACCCAAACCATCTGGGATTTTGTGAATGCATTGCATTGACTGTGCTAGAATGGACTTTTATAGATAATTTTGTTATATATTTCTGTAAAAGAATACAGCAACATTAGCAGTGCATCCACAAGGAGAGAGGTGTCTGCAGAGCTCTTCCATGTTACCTTGTGCTGCAGAGCAGCAACCAGAATTTTTTTCTTTCCTGCTCATTCACAGGTAGAACTTGAGAGAGCAAAGACACAGCTCAAGTCCATGCTCATGATGAACCTGGAGTCTCGGCCAGTGATCTTTGAAGATGTGGGGAGGCAGGTTTTGGCAACAAACACAAGGAAGCTACCTCATGAGCTCTGTGACCTCATCAGTGAGTAGACAATGCTTTGCCTTGCCTTGAGGGAACTGTAGGTACAGTTAAAATACTCTTGTAGCACTGATGAATTACCTCTGAAAGTGGGGGCATAAATGCTACAGAAATACATTTCAAATTGACCTTAATTGCTTTCACAATTAACAACACAGGGCTTATTTTAGTCAGAAGGAAGGGAAAACAAGAACCATGGTGGAGAAGATATGGAGTTGGTTTTCTGAGCATGGGCCCAGAGCTGCTTTGTGCTGTTCACAATGGAGGTGTATCACAGCTCTGCCTTTCTTCTGCCTGCAGGTCAGGTGAAACCCAGTGATATCAAGAGGGTGGTGACTAAGATGCTGCACAAGAAGCCAGCAGTGGCTGCCCTGGGTGACCTGAGAGATCTGCCCACCTACGAGCACATCCAGGCTGCCCTTTCCAGCAAGGACGGGCGGCTCCCGCGGCTCTACCGCCTCTTCCGGTAGAGCAGCACCTCCTGCCCGGCCTCAAATCCCTTCTTTTTTAATGGTTTTTTTTTTTATTCTCATGTTGCTGTACCACCCTCCCTCCCCCCAATGCTCCCAGGCATTCTGTGCAACCATGGAGCTGAGCAAAGCTGCTGTGGAGCACTGGACTGTGAAGAGCTCGTGTTAGGAGCTGGCTCTGGAGGAGGAGTTTGACCCTCGGAGGAGGTTACAAGAGAAGATGGGTGTTGAGACCCTTCTCTTGGCTTTGGGGAGAACAGAGCAAGCCAAAATGTTCATCACTACAGTGAAAGCACATCTCTGAGCAGTGAGTCACTGCCTCTTTATCACCCCAGCAGTGGAAGTGGGGCTGTCACATGAGGCCCCACCGTGCCCTTCCTGAGGAATG